TGTTGGATGTGAATTTACCAATTCTCACTAGCTGTTGCCTATCTGTCAGAAAGCTGGTGATCCATTGACAGATAGAGCTAGGAACAGAGAGCTGGGTTAGTTTGGTCTGGAGGAGTGTTGGGATGATGGTGTTGAAGGCTGAACTGAAGTCCACAAACAGGATCCTTGCATAAGTCCCTGATTTGTCCAGATGTTGCAGGATGTAGTGTAGTCCCATGTTGACTGCATCATCCACTGACCTGTTTGCTCTGTAAGCAAACTGCAGGGGGTCCAGTAAGGGTCCAGTGATGTCCTTCAGATAAGCCAACACCAGTCTTTCAAATGACATCATGACCACAGACATTAAAGAAACAGGTCTGTAATCATTAAGTCCTGTGATTTTGGGTTTCTTTGGGATGGGTATGATGGTGGAGTGTTTGAAGCAGGCAGGGACTTCGCACAGCTCCAGTGATCTGTTGAAGATCTGTGAAAAGACGTGGGCCAGCTGGGCAGGTTTTTAGACAGGCTGGTGTAACACCATCTGGGCCTAGTGCTTTCCTTCTCTTCTGCTTCCTGAAGACCTGACACACATCAACTTCACTGATCTGAAGTGCAGGAGTGGGGGAGAGGGGGGTTGTTGGAGGTGTTGATGCTGTGTAGAGAGTTGGTCAGGGTGGGTGTGGGGTGTGAGACCAGGAGTTTCAAATTTACAGTAAAACTCATTCAGGTCTTCAGCAAGTTGTTGATTCACCGCAGTGCTGGAGGATGGTGTCTTGTAGTTTGTAATGTCTTTCAGACCTTTCCACACTGAAGCAGGGTCGTTGGCTGAAAACTGGTTTTCCAGCTTTTTAGCGTAGCTCGTCTTAGCCACTCTAATCTCCTTATTCAGTGTGTTCCTGGCCTGATTGTACAAGACTCTGTCCCCACTCCTGTAGGCATCTTCTTTGGCCTGGCGAAGCTTTCTGAGTTTTGCTGTGAACCATGGTTTGTCGTTGTTGTATATTAAATGAGTCCTGGTAGGAATGCACATATCCTCACAGAAACTGATGAATGAAGTTACAGTCTCTGTGAGTTCATCCAGATCAGTGGCAGCAGCTTCATAAACACTCCAATCAGTGCAGTCGAAATATACAGTGCAGTCTTGTAATGCCCACTCTGTTTTGTTGGTCCATCTCTTTACAGTTCTTAAGACAGGCTTAGCAGATTTAAGTTTTTGCCTGTATGTTGGAAGGAGATGAACCAGGCAGTGGTCAGAGAGTCCCAAAGCTGCTCTGGGGATGGAGAGATATGCATCCTTTATTGTGGTGAAGCAGTGGTCCAAAATATTTTTGTCTCTGGTGGGGCATGTAATGTGTTGTTTGAATTTTGGCAGTTCGTGTGTGAGGTTTGTTTATTAAAGTCCCCGAGATTATAACAGAGTCTGGGTGTTGTTGTTCTGTATCTGTGATCTGATCAGCCAGCTGTTGTAGCGTCGCGCTCATGTGCCCTTGCCGTGGAATGTAAACACTCACGAGAATGAACGAGGAAAACTCCCGCTGCGAGTAGAGGGACTGTAGGCTTACAGTTGATGAAGAGCACTTCTAAATCAGGACAGCACATCTTCTTCAACGCTGTTACATCTGTACACCACCTTTCGTTGATATAGAAGCATGTCCCACCGCCACGCGATTTCCCTGTTGATTCTGCGTCGCGATCCACTCTGAACAGCTGGAAGTCCGGCAGATGAAACGCGCTGTCCGGAATGGCTTCATTCAGCCAGGTTTCCATGAAACACAGAGCAGCAGAGTTTGAAAATCCTTATTTATTCGGGAGAGCAGGAAAAGTTTGTCCATTTTGTTGGGTAGAGAGCGGAGATTCGCCATATGGATGCTAGGCAACGCCATTCTGAAGCCGTGCTGTCAGAGTTTGACGAGCGCGCCGACTTGTTTCCCACGCTTGCGCGTCTTAAAGCGTTTGAACCGCGCCACTGCTCTGCCAACTACAATGTTCAGCAAAACATCAGAATAGTTGCAAACCGGTAGAAGATTGCGTGGTGTGTTCTGCCGAATGTTCAGCAGTTCATCCTTGGTGAAACTGATTGTAGTTGATAAACAAAAAAACAGGAAAAACGAACAAAAACAGTAAAACAACTGGAAAGCTCAACACCGAGGTGGCCATCCGTGGCGCCATCTTGAGTATATATAAGGTGGTCATGACAGATGCCTCCAACACAACTTGGGGAGTTTGTATGGGGGCAGACCAGCATTTGGTCAAACCTGGAGCAATGCTTACACATCAACTGTCTCGAAGTGATGGGGGTTTTTTAGCCCTAAAACCCTTCCTGCCGGCCTTAAAGGTGTCATGAACTCCATTTTTTATTATTTCATAATGTTCTCTGAAGTTTGCTTATAATGTTAACGTGATTTTACATTTAAAAAATCATAATTTTAAAGCAATAGGCTATTTTAATAGGGTGCATTCAAGACTCACAAGTAAACGCCCACAGTTTCACTTAATAAAATAGTTTCACTTATTAAAATAATAGATGGACGCTGCTGTGATGACTCTGAAAACAGCATGGGTCATTTGGGTTAAAAACATAGAACCACAGAACCACCTATTGATCAAGAGGGAGATTTTTGCTTATAACTTCTAAATTGTTTGCCTAAAAATCAATATTGGTCTCTTTAGAAACTGTATAGCATGCAGATTGAATCAGTGCCCAATTTTCCTATGTTGGCCATTTTTGGGCATCAGCCATTTTGAATTTTGAAGTAAAATGCTGTATTCTACAAACAGATAGACATATTATTATAAAACTTGTGTCTTCGGCACCATACCCTGAAGCAACCTATGACGTTTTAGACCGCCGCCACCTAGTGGTCAAAAGATATAATAAAATGTACAAATATGCTGCAACTTTTTTTTCAATTTTGCCATGAATCTTAACTTTTCCTATTCCCTGAGTTGTACAGAATGGTATATGCTTTTCAGCAGTCGGCCATTTTGTCAGTCAGTCAAAAACCTACTTTTTCAAAATCGTCTTAGACTATTTGTCCGATCTTCATGAAAACTGAATCAGATGCTGGCAAAAAGTTATTAAAAGCATTTTTGTATAACTCAAAGTCAAAGTTGATGGCATAATGCCACAATGGATCTGAGACTACAACGCTTTGGCATGTTGACACCAAAATTTGTGTGTGTCATCATCACCCCACACTGACCACACCACATCAATTTGGGAGCAGCACCACCTATTGGTCAAATGCAATATGCATTTACATCACATTACAAGTGATTGTATTAATGGGTTTTCAACCATTTTGCTTAAAGTTAGCAACAAATGTCTTTAATTACTTCAGCTCGCCAGATGCTGCCTTCCATGCTTGCTTAGCTCCTCATTTTGCCTCTGATGATGAGTTTAATTTATATAGCGCTTTTCCCAAGCTCAAAGCACTTCACAATCAACATTAAACACAAGACAAATCAATAAACAATACAGTATACACAACAATCAAAACAAAAAATTTGAGAATCTGAGGCAAATGTATAATCGAGAGTGAAAACATTTTTGCCAACAGTGCAAACGGAATGAGCAGTAGCGTGATATGTATAGCCAGAGCAGGCCCAATGGTGTAGACTTGCCAAGCAACCCGCGTAGTGCTGCATCTCGAGTACCACAGAGCCCAAACGAGTGCAAACTCCAGGACCCCAAACGGAAAACGGGAAAACTCAACAACGACAGCCACTGCCGATAAATCCTCCCTTAAAAAAAGACGCAGCCACTCCGTCAGCAGCTACCACGATACAAACGCCGTAAGGCAGGCAGGCCGGTGGAGTCAGTTTAAGCCGTATGAGATGCCACAGCAAGTGGCGGAATGGAGCACACCACCTGCAAATGCACCAGCTGGAGTCACGAAAACAGTCCATTGTATTTCCATTTTTTGAATGTGTGAGACGACGTTAGTCCATTTTTGAAACCAGGAGAACATGCATTCTAACAAAAATGACAAGACAAAACTAATAAAGCCCCAGTGTGAAGCGGCAGCCAAATGCGCACAGCGTACTCACACCGGAAGTGACGAGGAAGTGACTCTGCTGTGTTCACCAGCTGAAGTTTGCCCGTTTTACCATAATTATATAGGATAAAAAAGTAAATGCCTGTGACCGTTTGGTCAAGGAAGACCACACAAAACACTGCAGAATAATCAAAAACATTATGAACGTCATGAAAAGGTGAACAGTTGTAGTTTAGACATTGCACTAAGCTTGCAGTTAATTTAAAAAATTTGCAAGATAATGAATGGCTCACTGATTTGTGGTAACAGTCCAGTTCACAATGATTGTCTGTTTATTTTATTTCCCCCATTATAATACACAGAGAGGAGCTCCAAGACCAATCCATATAATTTTATTAGGTTCTAATATTGGGATTTTCCAGCATTCTGGCTCTGGATGCAATTCAAACAAAAGGCTCATTGTGGCAATCTGCTTATAGCTGGTTCATCTGTACTGCAGGGTATTGGTAATGGACTTACCCTGGTTATTCTTTAGTATTATTTAGTGTCCTTGGCATTATTTATAATAATTGTTAATTGTTTGGATTAGAGTTATTTTAATATATTATTAATAATTTATTGATTAAAATTTGTAAGTAATTTCTTAGAGGTTTGCTGAGGCCCTCTAGTGGGATCTGGTCCCCTGGTTGAGAACTATTGGTCTATTTTTTGTCTCTGTGTTGAGGCACAACCTGGACTCAAGAGATAGTAGATCTTCTGCTGCACAATGGAGATGCTGAGGTGTGCAAGAGAGCGCCAACAGCTGTCCGTATTCCATTTCTGGAGATTTGCGCTCCTTCACCCATACCATCAGGTACACATTAACGCATGTTTCATTTATACTCATGCATGGTTTTTGTTATATGAAGGATATGTCAATGCACCTGTGTATACAAAACTCATTTATCTTTATGCTTCATTTAGGGCTTGACTTACTTGAACAGATGAAACCACCGAGAGTCATCAAAACTCATCTGCCCATTCAGCTAGTGCCTAAAGGATTCTGGGAAAATAAATGCAAGGTTATAATTCAATTAAAACAACTTAAAAAATACAAAAAGTTTTGATTAACTTCAAACACAAGGTCAAATTTGGGTTTATTTTCACATCTCCTCCCCAACAGAAGATAAAACCAAATGACTTCTCTCTAGAGTGTATTGGTCATAACAGGCACTCAGCCTTGTGATGTTAAAACCCCTTGAACTGTATCTGACCACTGAATACTGCAAATCATGTCCACTAGTCCTCCTGTTTTTCCAGGTCATTTATACGGCCCGGAATGCTAAGGATAACCTTGTAAGCTACTTCCACTTTGATCGCATGAACCTTACCCAGCCAGAGCCAGGACCTTGGGATGGATACATTCACAAGTTCATGCAGGGACAATGTGAGACAAAACTACATATTTAAATATAATTTACAAAAATGAAAATTCTTTCATCATCTAATCACCCTCAAGTCATTCCAAATCTGTGTGACTGACGTTTTTCTTTGGGAAACAATATGCAAACATTTTGACATATTTCAGCTGTTTTTGTCCACGCAATGTAAATACTGTATATTCAACCCATTGACTTTAATTATATGGACAAAAAGTGAGACAGTGTTCCATTTTTGGTTGAACTATCCCTCTACTAAACACACATATACACACTTTTCAGTTTTCACCTTACTAGTTTTTCACTAACGTAGAATGAAATGTTTAATCTAGAATCATTGGTTACTCTGAGTGTCTTCTAATGTTTTTACAGTAGGTTGGGGCTCTTGGTATGACCATGTAAAAGGTTACTGGAAGGAACGGAAGGAAAGGAATATTCTCTACATGCTCTATGAGGACATGAAGGAGGTAGTTTTAGGGTGCTTTCACACCTGTAGATCGATTGCTTTGTTCCGAAACAGGGATTAAAATTATTACAATGTTGCTTTTTATTCTTGGTGCGGTTCGCTTTCATACAGCAATGTTTCTAAATGGACCAAATTTGTTAATACAAGTCACGCTCGAGTAAACTGTTCTCTCATTGGTCAAAGTTCCACGGTTAATTTTCCGGGATTCCATTTAGCTGTCACAGCTGTCATCCGTCAGGATGGAACAACAGCTTCGCGGGCTTATTTTATTTTATTTTTTGTAGATGTCGTACTCGTTATATTAATTTATCACTTTGAGCAGGTTCACATATGCCCAAACTAACCGAGCTAAGGGGGGAAACGCGCCAGGTTCCGAAACAACAGGCCAGGTGTGAAAGCACCCTTAGTGCCACATCTTCAGTCGTGCCAATTTCCTAAAATTTTATTACATTTTTTTTATTTTATGTCTGCTTTGATTTTTTGTATCATATATTCCTTTTTTTCCAAGAATCCTTTTAGGGAGATTAAGAGGATCATGCACTATCTGGACCTGTCTGTTTCTGAAGATGTCATAAAGAGGATTGTGCAGCTGGCATCCTTCCAAGTCATGAAAGACAATCCAATGGCTAACTACTCCTACATCCCAAAACCTTTGTTTGATCAGTCCATTTCTGCCTTCATGAGAAAAGGTTAATAAAAACCATACTAAATATCCCTTATGAGATTAAATTAATTATTTTTTATTTATTTAAACTTGTAAATAGATGCGTTTGTTTTTTTTTGTTTTTAGAATGAGGAACATGACCTATTGCCATAAGATAAGACTGGTCTGCCTGTTTTTTGGCTGGCTGAGAGTTGTATATGATTAGGCTGTTTTTAGACTCTAAGGAAACCATATAGAAACTTAAATCCTGCTTATATGGCTGTTTAGCATACAGGAATATGAAATATTGATCTGTTGTAAAATTATTTATCTTGTAGATTAGCTAAAACAAGTAATCTGTCGTGGCACAGAAAAAAAACAGCCTATAAATGAACATTTCAACAAAATTACAATTTTAATTCATTGTTAGCTAAAATATTTAGCTAGAATGTTAACGTCATCCCATGTTTAATGTTGTCTCTTGTCTGTTGTTATGGATAACATTAAAATATAGTTTAGCTGTCCTTATGCAAACATTTTGACCACTCAATATGGCAGTTAAGCAATCAGAATCAATTATTCCAAGGACCATGTAATAAGAAATGATATACAAAATACTGTGTTCATAATGAATCACCAAGCGTGTTTGTTTACACAGGAGAGGTTGGTGACTGGGTTAACCATTTCACCTCAGCTCAATCCCAGATGTTTGATGAAGACTACGCAAACCAAATGAAAGATGTGGACATTCCGTTCCGCTTTAGCATTTGATCCTTAAATAATTTGTGCAACATTAAATATATGCAATATATTATAGAAGTTTTGCCTGATGTCATTAGGTATAACATTCTACTCGCCTAATCTCACTGATTGCATAAAATGTTTTTTTTTTGTACTTAGAACAATTTTAAATGTCTTTTTTTTTTTTTAAGCAATATGCTTATTAATTATAGCTTAATTATTTACAGTTAATGGCATTTAACAGGATGGAACCTAAAATCATGGAAATAAAGAGTTGAAGTTGGCATTGATCAGTGAAGGACTGAGAATTAGAGTACATGATGGTGTTCAATTCAAGATAATTTAGTTTTTTTGTTGTTGTTTTAACTATTCTGAAATGGTATTATCAAGCAGTTGATATTACACAGTTGATGTTACACAAACCAGTAATAAACTAAAACCATAAAAGAAAAAATAATTCATCAAATCCACTGGTAAATGTTTGTGTTTTCCCTTCAAAAATGACATTGTTCCGGGAGGATTTAATTAATGACCTGGCTTTTGTTATAGTTAAAGCGATATTACAAAAGTCTAGGACTGAATGTGTTATGATGAAGTAAAACAATATTTTCTGTAAAACTAAAATGATTCCCATCCATCCATTTTCCAAACCACTTGTCCTATGTATGATGAAGCGGATGCCGGAGCCTATACCAGCATCTCAGGTATAGGGAGGGAAACACCCTGGATGGATGGCCAGGCACACACATTCTCACTCAGAAATTATGAGACATTAACATGTTTCATGTTGAAAAAACTTTAAAAGTACCAAAGTACATAAACTGGTTCTATAAGAAAAATAATTTTCTAGTGGTGATTTTAATGGCTCCTCTGCCTCCTTTTTTTTTCTTCTTTTTTTTCCATTTTAACATTTTAGATCAAATAAGGATACATGATTACACATGTTCTAGTATCTATATTTCAACATTAACTAAACGTGAATGTAGGAGCCAATCAAGAACTAATGAAGGGCTAACCTTAGACATTAACTTATAGACATATACTTTCTATAAAGCTGCTTTGAAATTATGTGTATTGTGAAAAGCGCTATACCAATAAATTTGACTTAACTTGATTCATATTCATGTGTCAGTAATGCCCACCTTAGCTACATGTTAGTTCAAGTATGATAGTTAATATATGACATAACACTTACAGGCAAACTTAATGAAATTGACTATTTAATAAAGAATGAGGTGTAGCAACCCATACTATGATCTGAAATACCATGATCTGAATTGACATTAAAAAAAAATTTAACACAATTTTTGACATTTTTGCCATAGCTTGTAGCTCTGATGATGCTGAATTAAGGGGTGGTCCTTTTTACAACAGTATTACAATATTTCAGCCTTCTTACCTTAAATGTGAAGTCCAGTCTTCTTTCTTTCATTTAATTAAAGTTCTCTGTCACCTGTTCATACCACTATTAACCTCTTCCTTCCAAGTCTTCCGGCAAGGGCTTTTTCAATGGGCAGCAGTGTTAATTCAGATTTCACATGGCCTGTTGCACTCCACAGGCATTTCTTGGTTTGATTTACCACACCTGCAGATGTAGCCCAAATGGTAGCATAGAGACACATGAGTTCCCTTTCAGTCGGTCACTACCAGAGCATGTGAGCGGAGCGGGGAGCGGAGTGGTAATATTTCCTTAAGAGCGCAGAGCGCCTTTCTGAAGATTCCGCTCCGCTCGATCAACCCAGAATGCCGTTTGGTGATTTGCTTGTTCGAGATCGAGAATCTGTAGAGATCGAGAATAGTAGAGCAGTTATGGAGTCCAGATATTGTTTCAACGAAGTTGCAAGCCTTATACATAAATGTAAAGTAAAAATCAAAGTTAAGAATGAGCAGGGAGAAGAAACTGAGAGGGAGTGCGGGGAGACTGTTAAAGTTAGTACAGATTCATATTGATTACAATACGTATACACGAAGATGTATGCAAACATGGTGCAGCAAAAGGTGAGCTAGTTACATACCATAATAAATGAATAAACAGGTAGGCTAAGGTTATATTCGGTTGTACGGAGCCCCGATCATGACATGCAGACAAAATCACAGCCACGAATTTAGAATAGGCTAGTTCTCTTTTATGCTAGGACTACATTATGGCCACGAATTAAGAATAAATTTTTTTGTTTAGTCTAAATTATGGCCACGAATTAAGTATTCATTCTCTTGTTTAGGCTTAGCTGCCACGAATTCATTCGTTCGTTAATTCGTTCATTCCCTATAGTAGGCCTAAATCGTGGAACGAATTATTATATTTCGTAATTACTTATTAAAATCATTATTGCTTAAACTTAATAAATAATAATAAATTAATTTAAAAAATAATAAAACCTGCTGACGTCGTAGAAACGAATTGTTAATTCGAATTATATTCGGAGCTCCGTAGTTATTAAATAATCTCAGTTAAACTGTAGACCTAAGCTAACACACAGCTGTATATAGGCCTAAATACAGAACTACAGAGTACAGAAGATATTAGCCTACACCACTTAGGCCTATTAAAATATTATAAAAAATAAAAAAAAATGACCCGAAACAATAGGTAGTCCTTCAGAATGTAGGCTAGATATAGGCAGCAGTAATTTATAATCTAATATAATGCACGCAAATTTGTTCTTTACAGAACGGAGCGGGATCTGAGCGGGAATTGGTTTACGGTGAGCGTGAGCGGAATATTAACAGAGCGCTTGCTTGGGCGGTTAGAGCGACTGAGTGGAGCGCACGTCCATAGAGCGGAAAACGTAGCGGAGCGTCACACCGCTCCGCTTCGCTCACATGCTCTGTTAATTACTCACCCTTTAATGAGCCGAAAAGAACACATGTCACACCTACGTGTACTGCGTTAGGCTAACCGAGACTTGTCATTTGCACTTATATATTGTTGCTCTTTTGTTAGTTTTGACTGCTTGTATTGTCCTCATTTGTAAGTCGCTTTGGATAAAAGCGTCTGCTAAATGACTAAATGTAAATGTAGTAGGCCTATGTATTTAGTAGGAATGATTATATTTCGTAATTACTTATTAAAATCATTATTGCTTAAAATTAATAAATAATAATAAATGAATTTAAAAAATAATAAAACCTGCTGACGTCGTAGAAACGAATTGTTAATTCGAATTATATTCGGAGCTCCGTAGTTATTAAATAATCTCAGTTAAACTGTAGACCTAAGCTAACACACAGCTGTATATAGCCCTAAATACAGAACTACAGAGTACAGAAGATATTAGCCTACACCACTTAGGCCTATTAAAATATTCTTTAAAAAAAAACTGACCCGAAACAATAGGTAGTCCTTCAGAATGTAGGCTAGATATAGGCAGCAGTAATTTATAATCTAATATAATGCACGCAAATTTGTTCTTTACAGAACGGAGCGGGATCTGAGCGGGAATTGGTTTACGGTGAGCGTGAGCGGAATATTAACGGAGCGCTTGCTTGGGCGGTTAGAGCGACTGAGTGGAGCGCACGTCCATAGAGCGGAAAACGTAGCGGAGCGTCACACCGCTCCGCTTCGCTCACATGCTCTGAAGCCCGCGCATTTCCTTTCTTCTTTAAATCTAAGCTGCCCATCACCCAAGGCTGACGGAATCATCACAGAATCAGAAGAACGGTTGAGAGAAGAAAATTAACAGGTAAGCACAGCGAACTGTTTAATAAACTTTATTTTACTTTGAAAGTTTGAACGTTTTATTCTGATGTCACTTAATTTTAAGAACAAAGCAGTGCTAATTTGTGTTAGCTAGCAAAGACGCGAAGCTCCAGCGCGACATTACCTCGGTGTTTTTATCAAATACAATATTTAATGTGCAGTGATTAAGCCACATTTTTATTTTATTTTTCTAGTGGAAAATTAATTTATATGTTTGTGTGTTTTCTCACGGTTGGATAGATGAGCCCCGCGCCTTTTTTTT